ATCAATGTGGTTTGATTAGACATTCATAATTCCTCTTCCTAAGTGTCCAAACCATGACACAGACCAGCTTGTTACCCTGGCTGTATTTTCTGTACACAGTGTAGATGAAGAGACGTAGACGTGCAGAAATAATTGGCGGGGACTTTCAGGAGTAAGCGAGGAAGAACTGAGAGGCTTGGCTAGGGGATGGGTTTTTTTGCAGCGTAGTTTGTTGGAAGATGAGACCGGAAACCTGGTGGGGAATCTTTGAGGAGATAGACAGTCCTTTCAAGATGGAGCTCTGAATGTGAATAAAGAATTGTGAAAGGATAGCAGTCCTCTTGTTCATTCTCTCTTTCATGATCCCAACCATTTTAATTTGCCCAGCATCACTCTTGGAATGTCAGTTCATTCCCAGAGCTCCAGAGTGACAGAGCAAGTGCAGGCTGGGGTGGGGGTGAGAAGAACACTGCAAAGCATGAGAAATGGCAAGCCCTGGACCCAGATCAGAGGTGTGAAAATGCGTGCGCGTGCAGCTGGATGGGGGAGGAGACATGTACCAGATATAGCACTTAGAATCACAGAATGGCTTGGCCTGGAAGGGATCTCTGAGGAGCCTCTTGTCCAGCCCCTGCTCAAAGTAGGGTCAGCCAGCGCAGGTTGCTTAGGGCTGTTGAATATCTTGCTTTTGAATATCTCAGGAACAGATAATCCACAGACTCTCTGGGCAACATGTTCTGGTGTTTAACCACCCTCACAGTAATTCTTTTTTTCCTTGTTTTTAAATAGCATTCCCTGTATTTCGTTTTGTGCCCATTTCTTCTTGTCCTTTCACTGGGTACCACTGAGAAGAGTTTGGCTCCATCTTCTTTATTATCCTCCATCAGACACTTACACACACACATGAATAATTAATGGAAAATGCACAAGATGGGGGAATAGAAGATAAGTTGATAGCTTGGAGAAAGCAGTGTAAGGATTTTAGTGGACCAGAATATGAATAAAAAAATGTCACATTGCCACAAAAATAACAAAGATCATATTAGAACATAGGAACTGGAACATTATCTGTTAGGCAGGTGACCTCATACTTCCATCTTATTCAAAAATGGTCACTTCTCAGCTGAAAGACCATGGCCAGGGGCATCACAAATCAAGAAAGTTGTGGGCCCAGCAGAGATAATCCCAGTGACAGCAAGAATATTGAGCACTTTGATGGTAAACATCACCTATGAGACAATCCTATGAGAATGTCGTGGTTTTGTCTAAGTGAAAAAAAAAAAAAGAGGAAGAAGGAGAGGTAAGTTCTTAAAGACAGAACTCGTTCTGTAGGAAGAAGTAATGGACAAACAAAAAGCAAGCTTAAAACTAAGGCTGGACCTGGGGAGAACTTTCCATGTTAAGACATGGCATGGCTTGCCTGGAAAGGTTCTTTATCTTTGGAAGATGCACAAAGATATGTAGCATCTCTACAGAATGGCAAAGTTTGAGTTGATCCTGCTGCAAGAGACGGACTATCTGATCTTCTGAAGTCTTTCCAACCCAATTTTCTTTTATTACACAAAAAAATGATTTAAACGTAAATGCCTTCTATGAAGTATTACAGTACTGTCAAGACAGTTATTTCTTCTATTGCATGCTTTAAAATGATAAATTTCTCTTCATTTTTTTTTCAGTAAACATAAATGAAAACTCTAAAATAGCTGACCAAAATGTTCTGTGGCACCTATAGAACGTTAAGAGAAGAAACTGGGAATAAGTTAAGATTTAGTTCAAATCATCTGGAGAGGTCTGTAATTTTGAACATCTGAACTTGGTATTTTTTAAAAAGAATTGTCCTCAAAGTATCTTCGGGCATGCTCTCAAATTTGGGCCCCACAAAGATAAGTCCCACAGACTGTTACATTACTCTTGAAGGTGGATTATATCATATTTGTCACACATGGTTCACAGTTACCCTAATTGTTTCTGCAGCCATTGGCACCATTTCAAAGTGAGTATAAAACACCATCAGGCTAATGTAATGTCTTCTTATATTTGATGTGTCCTAATATGAATAACTCTGCAAGGCAATGGGGAGCTAGGTTCTCCTGTTTTATGCATAGGTACCTGTCACTCTATCTGCATGGGCTGCTTTCAAAGACCTCTTTGTCTGCAAGGTAAACTCAGGCTGGAGATGATCTCAGACTTGAAATCCCAGCCAAGGGAAGTCATCAGGCTACAAAACCCACAAAGTTAAAAATACAGGGAGCACTGGAAAATCAACAGGAAACAATTTCTGCTGACTGAAGTTTTCAGCTTTCTTCCAAACACCAGCCGCAGCAGCCTGTTGGATGGGACAAAGCAGCTACATGAAAGAAGCAATGGCTCTTAATTTAGTTTAAAGAAGAAGCTATCACCAGGAAATGATTAGAATTGTATACTTGGCTGTTGCTGGGATGGGGCATCGTCTTGCCTTTACCCAGTCCCACAGATGGTCTCCCTGCTTCTCTCTCTTTGCAAGGGTGCCATGGACAATTGTTGCCAAAGGGAATTTCTCCCTTTCTTCTGGCTGTTGATATTAGCAGGCCTGAAATCGGTCCTGGCAGTTGGGCATGAAGGACTTACCATCTCACAGGATTCCCAGGCCTGTAAGGATGTCAGGTTTGAACACAGCTTTGTTTGGCCTGACTGCCTTGGAGCAATGCCTGTCAGACTAACTTAGACTATAGCTGCCAGACATCAAATGAAGATTGCCCAGTTACAGCCCAGTAGAGCAAGGTATTAAGTTTTGCAGTACAAAACCAGAAACAGTTATGGAAGAAAAGCACAAAAACACAGGCTTAAGCTCTGCATATCTTGCTCTGGCTTTCACAGAGGGTGAAAGCATCCCTCAACTGCAAAAGCTGAAGGTTCCAGCTCAGGAACACTCTGCTTTCAGGTTAGGACCTCTCTGGGGCATACACAGCCAAGGAGGCTGAGAAACATCCTTTCAGGTTATAGGGCTAGACCCAGGCTATAGGGTCTCTTAACACCCCAAGTAAGCTATCAGGTTGGCATGCTATATCCTGTCTAACGTGACCTGCCCAGGGGAGCTTGCTCTTGGGAAGGCTCCTGCTGCTGAACATGTTCGCTGTGGACTACCCTCTCCCTACATCACCAATGGCCTCCACTCTTTGGTAACTAAAGGTTTTTCCCATCCCATGGTCATTCCCAGTTCTCTGCTGCTGAATCTGAAATACATAAAATGCAAGTGCATTTTGGAAGAACATGTTTTCTTATCTCTCATCCAGTATGGTCACTGAAGAACAGCTAATCTGAGCAGTGTGGCTGTGGATGGGACAGAATTGTGCAATGTCGTAAGAAAAGCCCAATCGCACTGAATCACTGACTTCCCTCTGCTTGTGTTTGAAGTAGGATTTATTTCTTGGTAACTGGAATTTTCCCCCTGCTTCCATTGTAATAGGGAGTTACAATTATGTAAGATCACGTAAGGAAGTTGCTTTGAAAGGTTTACACAGAGCTGCAGACATGAAATGAAGCAAACTCATTACTTCATTGGATCTCCAGTCCACAGTCATTCCTTAAAAGTTATGAAGATTTTAAAAATAGAAAAGTCAGATGTGATTTTTGTAGTCTGGCCTCTGAGCCTTACAGGTGCACCAACTCTCCATTTGCAAGTTTTTCCATGTGTTCATGAGGACAAAACCTGCTCTTTTTTTTTTTTTCTTTTTTTTTCTATATCAAAGTTATTCTTGGCATTATCTTTTGGTTATAGCTAGCAGAATTACTAAGAAAACAATAAATACTGCAAGAACCTCAAAAAAACACAAGCTTTAGCAAGACTTAAGAGCTCACCCTGCTTAGAATATTATTCTGCCTTTACCCAGGTTCTATCTCACTGAGCCTGAAAGTAACACATTAATAGGAAGGGAAAAATGCTTCTCAAAGGGCGAAGACAAAATTTTCTGTTTCAGATTTTGTATATACATTGCAAACATCTGCTTGAGTGGGAAAAACATTGACCTAAAATAGGCTTCTGAATTCATCCAGACATTCATCCATTTACATCTTTCTGGCAAGCTAGGCCTTACATGGTCACAATAAATGAACATGTTATTCTAGGCTAGGGTCTACTCATTCAGTCCTAAAGAACAGATTAAGAAGTTGGAGCATTAGTCTAGCTCAGCTAATCCTGACATCCTCAACCTCCTCTGAGTGGCCTGAGACCCCCAAGTCTCATTTGCACTTGTGAAGGCTATGGCAGATGGGCACTAGAACTAGCTTCCATGCTGGAGGATTATCACACTTCTGGCCAAGCTAATCACTCTGATTAATGCCTTAACCTTCACTGACACCCACTACAGTCATAATCACCCCAAAGTGCATTGCCAGTTGCTTCTCATAGCTTACGTATTTTTTCCCAACCTTTCCAGACTTGCAGGTTGCACTTCTTTTAAACAATAAATTGTTTTAATAATTGGGTAGTGCTGTTAATAGCCTACCCAGCTTTGCTAACCTTTAACAGTTAAAAGCTTAATAAGTAAACCACATCAGGTGGTTGCCTTTGCTTATCACCTTCCTAAGTTATAATAAGGCTTTCTAGCTATTTAGTGAGGTATAAATCTTTTGTGTTATTTGGTTTATAGCTGTGGCATGACAGCCAATTCAGACATAATTCTAAATGAATGTTTCCAAGTGGAAACTTGGAATTTGAATTCAAATGACCTTACCCCCTCTTCTAGTATTATTATTATTAGTCTTTCCTGTGTGCATTTTTCAACTTGCTCATTCTTAATTCCTTCTGTACTTATTACTGCAATCAGCCTAATCCTGTATACTTGTAGAACCCAAGTGTGGGAGCCATAAATACTTTTGCAGTCTCTCCAGGGCAAATCAGCTGTAATTGGATCTACTGTTGCCTCATGAAGAAAAAAAAAATGGAAAGACACATTCCATCTGAAGACAATTCTGTGTCTGTGTGCATGTGTTTGCGTCTCTTCTGGCCTCAAGTAACGCTCTGTCCTCTTGCTCTGCTCCAGGCTGAGTTCTCCGAGTTGAACCTGGCTGCTTACGTCACTGGTGGCTGCATGGTGGACATGCAGGTCACGAGGAACAGCACCAAGGTGGTAAGGTGAGGAGCAGTATCTTTTCTCACATTTCCTGCAGTAACCTGGGAGCGGAGAGGATGACCAGTATTTGAACTAAAGCAAACATAATTGTGTTGATTTCAAATTTTCCTGAAGGTAAAAATCTTACGCCATACAGTCATTGTTTCCTGTCCAGATCCCTCATTTAATCATAAATGCTTCCCTTTTTTAGTTTTTTTTTAAGCCTTGGGCCTGTTAATGTAATGGGTGGAAAATGGATCTTCCTTTCACTTGATTTTTCTCTCCTGTAGGATTCTGTCAACTCACCTTGAGCGTAACCAGTATTTTCCATGCATTAGCCTGCCTGTGCAAGCTCCAGAGCCTGGCAGACTGCCCTCACAATAGCCACAAAGCCTGGTTTTCTCCTGAAATACCACCTTTTTCTGCCAGAGATTTCCCAATCCTTCAGCCTTGCCCTGTCATTTTTTTTCAGAGGAAATACCATATCTCCATTGGATGGGGATTTCTATTTCTGCTAGCATTATTCTATAATTGTAGTCATTTCAGGCAAAGACACTTAGCCTGGTCAATGCTTCCCTAGTCATGCATTCAATTTATTATTTGGAAATATTGGTCTCCTTTCTGACACCAGAGTGCCTGCAATTTGAAATTAGTATGTTAGATGTAATCTTACCAGTGCTATATAAAGAACAGTGTAGGATGTTGCCACATCTGTGCATGACAGTAAAATGTCTCTGTTTACACAGACCTAATATTACCTTTCACCTTTTTATTCCCAAGCCCACATCTTTATTAATTTCTGTCATTCCAATTTCCAACCCTACATTTCATCTTTAATACAATAGCTTTTCTTTGTCCATGGTGAAATCTCATTGTCCATTTTTCTAGCCTCTCCACTTCTTTTTGTACAATTCACTTGCACTTTCTGGTGTGTATGGTGTCTCCAGGTTTAATAACACTTGAACATTGAATCAGCACCTTTGTCTATTTACTTCTAGAACAGAAATAGAATGCAGATGTGTACAACTGCAAGACAGGAGATTTTTGAAGTGGATTATCAGAGCAGCTGAAAAATGGTGATTCTGACAGTGCTGAGTTTAATTTCTCAAGATATCATTTCCAGTTCAAGCAGTCCAATGCAACACTTGTCACTGTTGATTAGCTATGACTGTGGTCCATCAATTCCTCTCAGGTCTTGACAGCTCTTAGTATGTCTCCGCTTATTCTTTGGTGCAATTTCATGAGTCTCTGCTAAAAATCTTAAAGTTTGAGTCTGTTATATCCATTTGCTATCTCTTGTCCCACAAATGTCTGTTTCTCAGCAAAAGAAAGTATATGTCCTGTGAACCCACCACTGGAATGTCCATCAGGCAGTACGCCGTGCTAATGCACTCTTGTGTTCATTTGCTCATGATACTGGAAGGTTTCCCAAGAACAATTTTCTAGGTTGATCACATCTTCATCTTCCTTCCTATGCCTTTCCTCCCAAAGTCATTTTTAAGTCTGGCAGAAAGCTCTTCAGCTATTAAACTGAAACTGAAGACAAAATTTATTTCACATGAGTGTCTGGGGCATGATGTTCATGTTCCTGCTTGTGGTATATGAACATGTATTAAAGCTAGCTTTTCTGCATGGCTTTTTATATATGAAAAAGCATTTGTTCTTACATGTTCAGATTTTGTATTTTCATCTATGGATATTTTTTTCTGTGCAGTGGGAGGTAGATTTGGCAAACAGATGTCTGTCTAGGTCCCCAATATATATGGCTGTGTGCACGTTTTGTCCATGGATTGAAATAGTCCTTACAGACACCACAGCATGTGCTGATGTGCCCATTCCTCTCTAGTTCACTGAGTTTAAAAGCCCATACCAGCAAATTTACAAAACCACTCTTGCCTATGCTTTAGAAATTGTGGAGACAAAAAAACTCTTTGCTTTAGAAAGCTCATTAAGGAACACACTACTAATGGCCCTTCAGCCAGCCTCTGAACACTGGTTGGCATGGAGCTGCACAATATATTTTGCCTCAACATTTTGTTTGTTACCTCTCCTGCAATGGATGTTTCCCTCTGCTCCATGGATGCTTTTCAGACTTTCCACTATTAGTGAAGCAAAAAGAAGATTAAAAAGAGCATGTCTTAATTTTTGAGCTGAATTCTGTATATACCATACCTGAGTTTTAGTATCTCCTTTGTGTCTTGTCCTTGGTCTTTCCACTCACCACTTCATAATAACATGCTGCATGCTCATACACAGAAAAGCAAATGAAAATATTTTATTATTGTTTTCTGCGTGTTCCTGCTTGAGTGCTATATATTCTTTTGTTATGTCATCTGCTTAGATTTCCCTCTGTGCCAGCAAGCAATGGGCTGCTATGTAGAGCACAATCTTCAGAAATCTCGGTTTGCAGAGAGATTCATATTGCATGTAAGCATACACCAAATTATTGAAATATTTTTTTAAGCGGAGACACTCGACTGCTTGGGGCATGCAAAAAGGTGCAGATGCTTTGGTCTATCCACATGCATGCAGCTTGCTTCCTGCCACCCTGGAGCACCCCATCATACTAACGATGTATTTCCAGACAACCGTTGGGGTGCTCCCACTGCAGAGGCAATGCTACCTGCGGCACCTTCCATGCACTGACCCTGCTGAAGCTAATTTGATGTTCTCTGTGGTCCAGTTGTCCTAGTCACAGGAGCACTCTGAGGCAAATGGGAGCAATGGAGATATAACTATAATACTGTGTCAATAAACGAGTTGTCCTAAGTGTACAGCCTCAGCAAACACTACTGGAGAAAACATCAAGGAGAATTTCTGCAGCTAAACTGCAGTGCAGGAAGCTCCGTGCTCAAAAGCTGTTGATATTTAATCAAGAAATGTAAAGGTCCAGTTGTCCCCTTGAGTTTGGGAACCACAAAACTAACTAAAGAAATTTAGGAAAGAGATACGTCAAAAGTTAATAATAGCAGTAACAATAGCAGTAATAATAATAGCAGTAACACTAAATATAGTCATAATAGACTGAGCAAACTTGAAACAAGAGACTACAGTTTCCAAGAGATCAAATTATTTGACTTGGACGCAGTCCTTCAGCCTTTGTGCACACAGACAGAGGTCACTGAGGAGGTGTTCCTAAGGATGTATGTGTTGGTCATACACATCTCTGATCCAGCACTTACTAGGCCTCTCTTAATTATTAAGCATGATCTTCAGTCACAAGTCGGAATGTTTCTAGGCCACAAGATATAACACTAATTCTGCTTTTTGAATAGCTTGTGTCCTAGGGAAGATAACTGGCAAGTTATAGAAAGGAGATGTGAATATCTAGGTAACAGGCATACTTGGGATTCCTACCCTGCAAACCCTTCCTTCTTCACGCTCCCCTTCAAAGCAACGGTAACAGAGCGCAGTAGCTGAGCTAAAAATAGTGAAGACACTTTAGGGCAGTGAATTTTAAATCTACAAAATGCTAAAAACCTTTACGAGTAATAATAATAATAAAGCAAACACTGGCATATTCTCTACAGTTTTAAATTAAGCCAGCTGAATTCTAGTATTCTAGTACTGAATTTTAATATTCTAATGTTCTATTGCCTATTCAATTCCGTCATTTTGTAACACATCTACTATTTCTTTATTTAAACTGGAGACGACTTATTGCATGCTTTAATCAAAGCTCTTTCTTTGCCGATCTCTTGATTCTTTCTAGCACTGCAGATTTAAGGCATTCTTTTAGACTCTGGGTAAACTGACTTGAATTACACCAGGAAAGTACTATGGTTCTTCTTCCTGGGGAGGGAAAAAAAGGAAAAAAAAAACACTGCTAGAACAAAGGTACAATAATCCTTGAAGTCCCACCCTTATCAGTGGCCTGGAGCAGGGAGGGGAGTGACTGGACATACTTTTAGAAGCATTATTTTAGAAGTCGATTAAAGAGAGCAAGGAACTCAAAGTATACAAACTTCCATACTTCCTAGTCTGTATATTAAAAAAAAAAATCATTTTAGCCAAGTTAGTAAACAACATTACATGCTGAAGTTAAGCATTACTTAGCTAGCCCTACTTTTCTATGAGTGTGGCTCTCATAGTGCAGTCAAAAAAAAAAAAAAAGAGGTTTCCACCTCCTTTCTCTCCGTATTAAATTTTGCACAGCTGTAGTACATGGTGATGGATTTGATAGTTTTACTGAAAGGTGGTACTTGAAGTAGCGAATATCCTCCAACACACCCATAAAACTGCTTGTGTTTTCCTGTGCCATTTTCACCATGAAATGTGTTGATTCCATCAGCCCATGGACTCCATCAACCTCTTCAGTGCAGGTTATCTTCAAAGCTGATAGAAAAAGGGCCAGCCATGGAGCACCTCTATCTCTCATCACCCCTTTGCCTCATACCACACCTCGTATCACTTCTCATCCTGATCCAGGACCAAGAAGGGGGATGACAAGAGTGCTGGGATCAGCACCTGCCTTGGCCAGAGCCAAGGGGACCTGCTGGCATACCAGCCCTTGTTACAGTCACACTCCTTTGGTTGGGATTGGCACCAGACCTTCAGCAAAGAAACCTTAGATGTGTGCAACTGGAGGCAGCTTATCACCAGGTTCAGGCAGGTTCATCACCAAGGATCCCTTACCTGTTTAGACAAAGCAACCCCTTCAACAGCAAAATGCCACCACTTCTCGGTTTGGTGGAAAAAAGAATTTCGGACAGGGAAAAAAAAAAAAAAGAAAGAAAGAAAGAAAGAAAAAAAAGGGCCAATACTGCCTTTTAAAGTACTTGTATGGATTCTGCATTCTCCTCACTTTGCACAGGTCTACACACACATGCATGAACACACACAGTAAAGTGCCTGAAGTTTACCTCAGAAAAGTACAGAGCTGTGTCACCTCTTCTGGCATTACATACAAGGAACAGGATTTTATTTTTTTTCGTTTATTTTGCATTTTCCCAAAAGGTGCCTTCATATCAACACTTCTGCAGTGTAAAGAGGCCTTCAGTGTTGGCATTGCAGCCATTCGTTA